AGTCTTCCTTATACAGTACAATTTATATCACAATCTCTAAGTTTCATAAACCTCCCCATTTATTTTTGCCATGAACAGAATAGTTCTGCTGCTTGTTTCCTTTGAACATCGTTTCATTACTACATAATCAAAATAAATCAGCACTGCGATAATTCTTTTATTTTCTGTTTCATTGAATATGATGAAATACAACCAGCTGCAAATATAAAATACATTGACAAAGACATTGCTCTTACTTTTTATCACTGAAATCAGTGAAATTTAATGTTTATTTTATTATAATGATTGTTTACTTTTGTGTAGCTAGACCTAGGAAAAAATGTTGTATTTCTGGTTTCTCAATTGCCAACCCTGGCAAAAAACTGCCAAGGGTTTACTTTTGGCAATTCTATAAAATGTTCAATCTTATTATCAGGCCTTTGAAACGTTATTGGTCACATTTTCAGAAGCAATTTTTTATTGAGTAAATTGGTTGAAATACTTGTCACTTCCCCACTTACCAATGGATTGACACGTCCTGATGTATTTGAGTTTTACATACATTGTTATACAATATTGTGTATTTGGTGAATAACTTAATTTAAGAAGAACATAACAAAATTTAAGAACAAAAAGAGAATCCTACCTATTTTCTCAGGACTGAAATCGGAAATACATTATATTTTTTCCTAGGCCCTAGCACCCTAATGAGAGCAATAGATTGTAATTAAAAAAAGTATGATTATAATTATTTATTTGATATTGTTATTTGAGACTTGCATGCAGAATGTATCATGATGTACATTATTGTATCCAGATAACATTGTTTATCAATGCAGGTGTTCATACCAGTTACTGTATGAATACACCCAGTGTCTAAATGTGAAAGATCAGTACCTGTAAGTCATGAGTGAGTCAATTACAAGTATGGCCAATGAAATAACTTGTAATCAGTATCAGTGAATTATAAATAATGGCCCAATCATGTAATGCCTATATATATGTTGACACTGCTTGATCGGTGCGATACATACATGTACCAAAACAGTTGGCTACATGTAATTTCAAGTTACATTGTAGCTCAGACAATATTATTGCACCTTCATTTCTGTCTTTATGATGTTACATGTTGTAACAGTTAACCAAATGGAAGATTACAAAGAAAGGTTACAGGTTTCTTGTGTCTGTCCAAGTTTAAAGTTCATTTTATATCTAAATTTATGGGTACACATACATGTATCTCTTAATATAACATTACATGTGACATAAATTACATTAAGCATTCATTACCACATGTACCATACAGAAATTTATCCTTGCTTTTTAATATGATACTTCAAGTTGATGATAGCTTCTGTGTACATTTGATGCATACAATGTGCATTTACAGAATAATCTAATACTAGTATTTACAAGTGGTTGTCATCACAAGAAGTGCAATCTTAGTCTTTGAATTTGGTTCTTCAAAATTTTACTTGGATCATTGGTCAAAACAGGCACAAACCCACAACATAATAAACTTGGTGCAAAAAGTTTGGAATATTCAACTTTCCGTTGTTGCTTTATTCTATATGACATATTGTAATGTATTCTATATCCTTGAATGCATGTGTGATTTTCTTTCCTATGATATTCACATCAGCATCCCTACCTATCAGCATCCCTACCTAGGTGTCATACTCAGCCACAACCTCAGGTGGAAGGCACACATCAATGACATTACTGCGAAAGCTAGCAGCACCTTGGGGTTCGTCAGACGCAATCTAAGGGGGGCAAGTAAGCAGGTAAGAGCCAGAGCCTACACATCACTAATACGACCCAAACTTGAATATGCTTCATCAGTATGGGACCCACACAAACAGATACACGCCCAAACCAACAGTCTAATTGATAAGCTAGAGTCAGTGCAAAAACGAGCCGCAAGATTTGTGTCAGGTAACTACAAACACTCAAGCAGCATTACTGCCATACAAAACTCACTTGGTTGGCCAACGCTCCAGCAACGGAGACAACAACAGCGTCTATGCCTCCTCTACAAAGCAGTCAACAATCTTATATCCATTCCTCTACACCACATTCTTACAAGAAACACAAACCCAACCAGAGGGCACCAGCTACGTTTCAACACACTACACTGTAGAACAGAGACTTTTAGAGGCAGCTTCTTCCCACGAACAGTGATCGAATGGAACGCCTTACCTGCCCATCTGGTAATGGCTAAGTCAGTTGAACATTTCAAAGCTGGGGTAGCCAGTCATTATGGCTTCCCTAGCTGTACCCAGCTGTAGGAATGTGGCCAATCCCCAGCCATGACTTCTGTACATAGTTATTGCACTTGTTTTTGTTATTATTTGTTTGTTGTTATTTTTTTCCTCACCACCACCACCGGTCACGCTGGGGAACGACCACTTCCCTAAGCATTAGACCCCGCGAGGGGTATTGCTTAGTATTGTATAGAACTAAATTCAACTCATTGAGTGTAAATTCATAAAATGAGCACCGGGCCTACTAAGTTAATCGTGAGTGGGCTGCCCCAAGAAAGTGCCAAGATTATGTTACAGTAGTAGAACACTATTCAGTACCAAGGACATTATTGTCTTTTGTCAGTACATGCTGGTATTCTTCTGTTGGTACATATTGACTTGTGTATGAGGATAATGAAGACTTAAAATAAAAACCACTGCATGGTGTTTTGAAAGTTGGGAGCTTTGAGAACCTTTTGCTGAAGAAAGCAATTGTATAAGAATTTTATACAATATTGTTACTAAAAAGCACTGTATGCAGATATAACAATTTTTTTCTGAAAAGCACTATATATATGAGGAGGAAGAGGGAACGAAATATGCTGTATGTTCAGTAGCAATTGTCGGTCTTTCTAGTTTGTGAATAGTGACACTCCAAGGAGGTTTATCAAGATTTAAACCTCATTGGACACAGAAAGACACGCACACACCCCTTCTTTTTATAGTGGTATCGCCCCAAACAAAATGGCGACGGGAGTTTTAGACGTGGAAGATGAATCCATACTTGCGGCTATTTTCAAGGACTTGCTGCCCGATTCCTGGCGGGGGCAGCCCGATGTTGCTCTGTATCTGGCCGAACTCAGTTCCTACGGCATCGATAAGCTGGGCAGGGAGCCGGACAGACTGGCAGAGGAACGAGCTCACATCTTAGAGCAGACCCAAGACCTGGCCTTCCACAACTACAAAACATTCATCAAGGTAACGTTACATGTTTATGTTCATTTCGTCAAGTTCTTAGAAAAACTGGAACTGTCCATTCACGGGTAAACAAAAACACTGCAGCCTGACACAATAAATTATGTGTTGACTTCTAAACTGCTGAAATATAGAGCGCTGTCAATGAGATTGATACTGATAGCATCTAAAACATGGTGCAAATTTTATGACAACGTGGCAAATTATTTGTGAGGATATTCCAAATGCCTTTAAGGTATTAAGACTACATTCCAAATTTCGTATCAATATGTAACGTTATTCGTTGTCCATTCTTTATTTCCATGTTACAATACATTACATGTAACGTTACTTGCAATTAGCATACGGGCAAGTACTTGCAATAAACTAAATATTTCTTCTGTAAATTGTATTTTCCTTATTCCTAACCCTACACAGACAGCAGAATGTTCCCAAGACATCTTCGAGGACTTCAGTCTGGTGGAGGAACGTCTGGAGAACCTTCTGGAGAAGCTGCCAGTGTTTGGGGAGAAGTGTCAGAGTTTCCTGAAGCATGCGCAGGACATCAACACCCGGCGGAGGATGAACTCCCTCACACTGGCACACCACACACAGCTACTGGAGATTCTGGAGATGCCACAGGTAGATATATACATGTACAACAGTCTGTTACCCGACTATATGAGATTAATGTTCACTTACTCTAGCGACAGGGCAGTCAGAACAACACGTCATATTGTATCAAACAGATTGCATGTACCGATGGTC